GATCCCTCTGGCCAGCTGCTATGGCCACAGATTTCCCTGAATGGGACTGGGGCATCTCATAACACAGAAGAAATCCCCTGTAGCAAGCAGTGTGTGAAGTCCTGCCTTACCAAATCAGGCATCAGACCTCTGACCGTGGTCCACAACAAAGGCAACTGTAAAGGTATATCTATTCAATTTCCAAGTTAGTGTGGGAATCCCAGAAAGGCCTCTTGTTCCATAACCATGCAAAATCTAAACACCCCTGCCTAGAGACACTGAGTTCTGTGAGTTTCACTAACTCTGCCTGGGCAGGTTGAAGAGTGACTCATCACTTGAAGCTGGTAGTTCTGAGTTGCATTGTGCTAAGCCTACCAGTTCTGGCACCAATATGGTAAGGCCCAAGAGGAGGGGGCCACCACATTGCCTAAAGAGGTATGAACCAGCCCAAGGTAGAAATAGGGCAGGTCAAAGCTCCCATGCAAGTTAGAAACAGGATTGGGCCCATGAGTGCTCTCTGTACTACTGGCCTGGGTGAGATGGAAGACTCATTCTGGAGGGGGAGGTGAAAAAAAGATGGTTATAGGGGACTCTCATTAAGATAGTATGGAGGAGCTGTAGCTCAATCATATGTACTCCAACAAAAAACTAAAAAAGGATATTAAAAAATAAAAGGATGTTCAAAAAATGAACAAGAAATCCAAAGAGAAACATTACAGACTTCTTTCATTTAGACCAGAATTATCCAAAAAGAAAGCTAAACACCTTAGCACTGGGAAAGAGGTTCAATCTGCAAAGCAAGCTCAGTTGGACATGCTACAAGACCACATGTCCTGACCTTAGAAACCTTAGGGGGAACAGAAAGATGGCAGTACACTGATGGGACAGCCAATCACAAAATTCTACCTGGAGATATTGACTGAATCTTGTCATTACTTTGAGAACAGACACTCCAGGGAAGGCAACACCAATGACAGGAGTCCAAGAAGTCTAGGTTCTGTTTTTAACAGGTTAAACCAAACAGGCTTAAAGACTCCATCTAAGAGGACAGGAAAGGGTAGAGAATGACCCTGCACAAAATCCTTAACAAGAAACTGAGGCAAGAAACATAAGAAAATAGAAAAATAAACCAAACACATAAGAAATATGAAAACATCCAAAAGGAGACCTCAGAAGAAAACAAAAATACAAGCAGATTCGGGGGAAAAATGGCTTGACCATAAGAACTTCAAGAATATCTTAAAAAAATGAAGAGATAAAAAATAAAATAAGATCTCTAGTGGTAAAAATTAGAAGGAAAATAAACGACTTTAAAAAGAAGGTAGTAAAAACAAACAAACCAACAAAAAACAAATAAAAAGAAGGTAGAAAAGCTTTATTCAATTAGGAAATACCCTGAAAATTAGAATAGACTAAACAGAACTCAGTGGCTCCTTGCGTAGAGAAATATTATTACAAAATCAAATGATCAACAAAATGTAAGGTATTTACTATCAAAAAACAACTTACCTGAAAAACAAATGGAGATATAATTTAAGAATCATTAGACACTTTGAAAATCATTACCAAAATTTTAGAATACACAATTCTATAAGGCAAAAGACAATGGCTTACAATCAAGAATATTCATCCTGTAAAACTGAGTATAATATAAGTTAGATGTGAGAACTCTCTGGCAATTACTAAATAAGAAAAGGACGAAACAGACATTTCTTGGTAGCATACATGGTCGATTCTGGTAAATACATTGTGAACAAAAGTAGAAACACAGAACATTCTTTATTGATCACAACACAATAAAATTATAACTGACAAAAGTCCTTTGAATAGAAAAATTCAAAGTTAAATTAAAAAAAAATTTTAATCCTAAGGAATTGATGAGAAAATCACAAAAACAGATAGTTTCATCAAAGAAAATGACAACAATGAAATAACATACCAAAACTTTTAGGACACGGACAAAGTACTTTTTAAGGGAACATGTATATCTCTAAAAGAACAGTACAATGATTTGATCATGCAACAAAAAATAAACACAAAACAAAACATGAGAGGAAGAGCAACAAATCAAATAAGCCCAACTAAACATAAAAATATAAATACTGAAAATCAAAGAAAACATTAACAAAATTGGAAGCAAAAAAAAAAAATTAAAACTGATAAAAGTAGGAACTGGTGTTTTGGAAAAAAAAACTAATAAAAGAGATTAAACCACTAGCTAAACTGATTAAAAAGAGAGGAAAATCAAATCACTAGTCATGGAAATGAAAAAGACTTTACAACAAATGAGGAATAAAATAAAGGAAATTATTAGAAACTATTTGGCTAAATGATATGCCAACTGATAATTTAAATAAATAAATATTTACAAATATATAAGATGCTTAGATTAGCAGAACAAGAAACAGAATTTAATATCCCAGTCTCATTAAGAGAAATTGAACAAGGTCAAACACAGGATGAAGAAACTTAAAAGTAAATATGAACCAACAATGATAAAGACTACAAAAGGATAAACTGCTTACATTATAGTATGAAGAGATGAACCCAAACATCACAGGTCATAAAGGGAATCTAGTTAAACAGCATGGAAGCGGTTTTTGTTACGTCTTGAGGATGTTAACATTAGAATGGAAAGAGAAAGGAAGAGGAAAGAACTGGGAGGCAGTAAGGGAAAGGAAGGAACGTTAGGGAAAATTATTCCACGTAATCAGGGTGCTCAAGGAGAATATAACAAGGAGGAGGGAGTGGTAGAGATTGCTGCTAATACTTGAACCTCTCTCTCATCTGAAGTAATCAAAAAAGGAATTCTCTCTCTCTCTCAAAAGAGAAGGAGGAATTACTGGGAGCATAGTTTTTAAGGGAGGAATCAGTCTTAAGTAAAACTCGATGTAAAAAAAAAATCAAAAGAAGAAGGAAAAACCCTTATGAAAAAAAATTGAGAGTAGCACTTTTTGTTGTAGCAAAGAACTGAAAACTAAGGGGCACCTATCAATTGGGAATTAGGAAAATGAAAATTTTCCTGTATAATTTAATAATTTTACCCAGCAATTGATCCCATTCCCCATTTTGTCAAATCCCATTTCTCAGTTCAAGTCAAAAAATGCAGTCTTTCCCGGTCAGAACAAAAAGCCAGGTTGAGTAATATGATCACTCCTAGACCCCAGGGCATTTACTTGCAAACCAGTTTAACCCTGGACCCCAGTTTTATTTACTAGTAAACAGAAACCAGTTCAAGTTGAACCTTCCCTCTCCCCAATTCCTCCAAGGGACAGCTCACCAGCTCTACTCTCTTCAAGACAAAAGTAGGAGTGGTTTGGTCCCCCCCAAGAGGATGGCTAACCAGGGTAATTCTGAATGGGATGGTTCTGCTTTTCTAACCAAGATCACAGGAGGCAGTTGGGGCCCATTAATACAAAGAACATTCGTTAATTATCAGAGACAGACTTGATCAGTCACACCCGAAGGCTAACCCACTTCCCCCAGCTGCAGCTTACTGTAAAGTTCCAAACTATCTCCACCTCCAGCCCCAGCTAAATAAATTGCTTAACTGAGGTCAGTCAGCCTTACTTTATTAACAGCTATACATGTTAAAAAATGGTTATCTTGCCATGGAGAAAATGTGCCTCATTTTGCGTGTGTTTTATTTTACTTGCCACAGGCAACAAGACAATTTATGAATATAATAGGAACAAATGTAGAAAAACCTGGGAAATCTTATATGAATGGATGCAGTGAAGTGAGCAGAACCAGAACAACCTTCTGACAGAGTTATGATGGACAAGAGGTACAAAATAAGATATGCATTTTTGGCCACAGTTGATGAGAATTTGTTTTGTATAACTATGTCAATTACTTAAAATGGAGGTGGATTTTTTGCATGTTTTTGTTGGAGGGGAAGCAGACAAGGAAAAGAATAAAGGAAGGAGAAAGGGAGAAACAAAGGAGGTTACAAAGGAAAGAAAAAGAAAGAATAACACATAAAAATACACAAAAGAAAGCTGAAGGGGGTTTAGAAGGTAACACAGATAAGCAGGGCCGCTTTTGAAACTAACATGTTGAATTGTGTGTGGATTAAACTCAAAAAAAACCCAAAAACCAGGTTGGATGAAATAAGATTGTTTCACATATAACTTCTTAAGTTTTTCTTTGTACATAGAAATGTTTGTGTTTATTGGTATTCAGAATTTTGTTAGACAAAATTTTTAAATGGTTATGACTACATCAAATAGGTGGGTGTGATGGGGTATGGGCCCAAGAATGGCCCTAAGAAACCCCCTTCCTTGAACTTTTCTTTAACTCTTACTTGGTCAAGGAAGTCTCTAGAGGTTTCCTAAAGCTATAATCCTATCAACTGGCCTTTCCTTATCGAATATGCCCAATGTCCCAGTTCTTCCTTAACCTTAATTTAGCCCATCTCCCTATGGCTGGTTTCCTCCAGCCATTTCCTACCCTAGATCCTATCTAAACCCCATTCTATCTCCCAGTCACTCCCATCAAGATCCTCCCTAGACTCCTCCTTCAGTTATACCAGCTTACTAGTCACTCCCATCAAGACACCCTTTCTCCCAGACCCCTCCTCCACTCACCCCAAACTACTTGGCTACTCCTAGATCCCTCCCACAGTCTTTCTGTATATAAGGTCCATCTTGTCTCCATTAAAATGTTCAGATTCCTGAAGAACCTAGCCAAGGGCCCAGATTCTTATAATCTAGCCAATAGCTCACAAATGTTCAGATTCCTTAAGAGTCTAGCCAATATGGCCAATCTTTAATAAACCTTGTCTTTGGCTGAAAGAAGGCTTGGGTCGAATTCATTCAGGTAGGACCCATGTGTTGTGATTTTGGGGTCTCAGCACCCCTAAACCTCTAGACCTCAACAAACACATTGTAAGTATTCAATAAAGGCTTAAAGGTGGAGTGACTGAAACACTATTACATTTAACAAGTTTTGTTAAAGTCAAGGTAATTGAGAGATTCACAGTTATTTTGACCAAAGAGCTGATTTTTTTTTAAACTTACCTCAAAACAGTTCCATCAACTGCAAGTTTAATAAAATTTCCTTCTTCCAGATCCAATGCCAAGCCCTTGCAACTAAAATACAGAAACAATGGTTACTAAAACAGGTTATTTTACTCTGCTTATGTAAATTTACTTTAGAGGAAGACATTTTCATTAAAAGAATGTTAACTGTAACTACAACACAGAAAAAAACGACAACAAACAAGCGAAGGACCTCAAGTGACAAATAAGACACAGAAGATCAACTAAGCTGCTGAAAGGTAGAACCACTAAATGTATGAATTAGACAGGACTTTATTCCAAATGCATTGAGTACAAACGTATCATTTTGTAGAAGACAGACCTGTGGTCCAGAGAGGATATGACTTACCCCGTGTTATGTGGATGAACCAATGCCACCATAACCTAGTTATTTAATTTTTTTTAACTTTTTACTTAAAAACCTGAGACTTAAAGGAAAATGATGTTATTACTTACTTGATTTTAAAATTCTCCTCTGAACTTAAATTATTTTCCAATTGTTAAGCTCCTTTCTATGGTCTTTGAAATTTGTTTAGTTTTATTTTAGGTCAGGCTATTACACATCCACCTCTGAGCCAGATTCATTATTACTACCTATTAAGAATAGGCCAAACAGGATGTTTATTTGACATTTTAGAAGAGCTATGGGACACAGGGCAATGGAGAGGGAAGTTTCACTATTCTCTAGCACAAAAGGAAGGTAGGAATAATAGCCACAAATTGTCATGAGATTTTAGTAAAATGACAGTGCTTTGGAAGCATGTTATTTATTGTAGTTCAAAACTTAATCTCTATCAGTAATTTCATACAGTAAAATACCTCAGTTTCTTCCACTTCTAAGTGAGATTAGACTCACCAAATATTTGCTGAATTTAATATAAATGAAAAACACAGTTCCAGAATCACAACTGAGCTTATTCTTCTTTTTTTGGGGGGGAAGGGTTGCCATTAATGTTAAGCTGAACATTTAAAGTAGCATAAGTTTTTACTATTTTTAAGAAACTGAACCCAAACACGTGTTAATTCCAAAGCAGGCTATCAAGGACAGCCTAAAGTTTAAACAAATGAATGTTTATCATAAAGTATGTATTGATTGAATATACTAATTGTTGAGGTACTTGAATGAAATCATGTGATCTCTCCTTCCCTCTTGATTCTTATGGTGAGGGTAACTTAGAAACCCATATTCCTAAACATTTAAATGTCATATAGTTCTTTATTTAGAAATGTTTTGCATGAATACACATGTATAATGGGTGTGATATTTCTTGCTTTCTCAATGAGAGTGGGGGGGGAAGGGAGGGAGAGAATCTGCAACTGAAAATAAAAATTTAATTAAAAAAACCAGTTCTTTACAACCTCTTAATTGAGTTCAACTAAGAGGTTATGTGTAAATACCTCAAATTAAACAAAAAGCTAATTACACAAGTATTCCAACCATTTCTATTTCTAACAACAAAAATTTCTACTAGACATGTAACTGAGAAATTTCTATAGATGAAATTATAGACTGGTTTAAAAATCAGTTGGAACAACTTTATAGTCATATTTTCTGCCTTTGTATAAAATTACACAAGCAAAGGAGAGTAATGCCCATATAGAATACAAAAGGATTAATAAGAGTATTAAAAAAAGAAAAAAAAAACAACTCACCAAAAATCCCAGCTCTCTGGAGGTACAGTTAGCAATTCTTTATCATATCCCTTCTCTGTTACCAAGTACTGAGCAAAGCTATTATAGATAAGCTAAAATGAGGGAGAAAAATACAGCATAATAAATGTAAAATTGTTCATCTTTAAATATTCAAGTCTGAATTGATGCATGGAATTATCTACTGAAAATAAAATTTAATTTCTGATTTGAAAGTCTGAAGTTTAATTCTCCCGTGAGGAGAATAAATTTAAGAGCATCTTATATCAAAGAGCTATGATAAAGAAGAATTTAAATATTGTTTGTTTTATTTAAATCTAGACTTGTAATTTCATCAGTGTAAGGAACTTTTGGTTTGAAAATTCTTAGCAGGGTGCTGATAACCAAGCAGTATACAGCACTGAGATTAAATGATCATATAGCTAGTAGGTATCACAGGACCTAAATCCACATCTTCTAACGCAATGCCCCTCTATCCACTATGCCATGTACCCTGTTTTAAGTCATAAACCACATCATACTAAACTCTGATAATTAACATGTTTATAGTAAACCACTTTTATTGTTTTGCCTGAAGACCTATCTGTTGGCATCTCATATATATTTTAGGGAGCCGCAAGTGTCTTTGTTTCACATAGAAGCATAACCATGAGAAGTACTCATGGACTACATCCACCTACAAAGTCAATGGAAAACATAAGCAAACAGGACAGTTTTGAAAAAAAAAATGCTGAATTTGTTGTATACTTGGAGGAAGAAGAAAGCTACAGATTGCATAGATTCTCAATTGGAGGTGTAATCCTTTTTTTTTTTTTCTGTTCTGCTTTGTACAAGGAAATGTTCATCCTTCCAAAATGGTTGTGCTGATTCACAGCTCCACCAACAATGTACCAGTTTGTCAATTTTCCCACAACTCTTCCAACACTGACTATTCCCATTTTTTTAGTCATCTTTGAAAACTGGAGAGTGTGAGGTGAAATCTCAGAGTTGTTTTGATATTAATTTTTCTTATTACTAGCTATATGAAGCATACTTTCATATGGTTGTTAATAATTTGCAGTTCTTTTGTGAATAGTCTATTCCTATCCTTTGACCATTTATCTATTGGTGAGAGGCTTTTAGTTTTATATATTCGTATTTAAATATGAGATATAGATGGATATATTACATATTTACATATATTTGTTTATACAGCTTAAAACCCCAAAACTCTTACTTATCAGAGCAATTTAATACAAATTTTTTTTCCCATTCAATCACTTTCCTTCTCCTGAGTGCATTAATTATGCAAAAGCATCTGAGTTTTATATAATCCACATTGTTTATTTTATCGTCTGTACTTGCTTCTATCCTTTGCTTGGTTAAGAATACATCATCCACCCATTATCTGTGAAAGGTATATAATCTGCTTTTCTTCTAATTTTTTTTTTTATAGTTTAGAATAAGACAGATAGGGACTGGGCCCATCATTTTATTGGTATAGGGAACTTTTTCTAATAAAGGAAGTCTACAACTTCTCAGCAAATTACAGTGGTAGAGACAACCAGAGAGCTGACCAACGTGTCCAGGGTTTGAGAGTCAGTATATATCAAATACAGGACTTCAATCTCAGTCTTGCTAGCTTCAGGGCTAGCTTTCTCTATCCAGATGTCATACTGTCTCTCACATTCATTACTCTCATATCAGAATAAAAAAATAAAAATTTAAAAAGAGAGAGTAAGACCGAATTTGAATCCTAGTTCCAACATTTGCTTATCTATGTGACCAAGGGCAAGTTACAACTTCTGAGCCTATTTCTTTATCTGTCAGAGGGATACTATTACTTGCATTGCCTACCTTGTGGGTCAGTTACTATATAAACATAAGCTATTATTACTTACTGTGGAATCCTAGAGTTGCAAGGAACATTAGAAATCAGATGCTACCTAAATACTTTCAATCATGCGGAACTCAACATAGTGCATTCCATGTTGTACAATTATTTTTTTTTAAAAACATATACTTCTTTATATTTCATACTCTTTACATATATATGTGTGTGTGTATATATATATACATATATATATAATACATATATAATGTTCATAGTTATTTACATGTTTTCTCCCCTGCTAGAATGATAGCTCTTGAAGGGGAAGGCCTGTTTTTGTCTTTCTTTATATCCTCGGCAATTAGCACAGTTCCTGGCACACAGTCAGCACTTAATAATTGCTCATTGCCTGACTATATTAAGCCACACTCTGCTTCCTTCTAACCCTCCGTCCACTGGTCCTAGCTCCACCCTGGAGGTACACAAAAATAAGTCTAATCCTTCTTCTAGGTTAAAAAAAAAAACCTTCAAATATTTCAAGACCACTATTGTGTCTCTGCAAAATCTTCTCTTCTCCAATTGAACCATCTCTAGCAGTTCATTCAAATCATCCTAATTATGTTTTTCAGGCTTTTCTTCATCATTAAGATCATATATAAAGAAGTAGGGGGATCTCAAAGGCCATCTACTCCAAACCTCCTATTCTATAAATGAAGAAACAGACTCAAGGAGCTTCAATAACTTGTTCAAAGTCACAGAGGAAGTAAAGGTGATATTTGAACTCGACTTGAGGTCCCATGCTCTTTCCAATCAATAAACAGGCTTTTATTAAACACCTCTATGCCACGTGCTAGGTAAACATGAACAGAAATGAAATGGGTTATGCCCTCAACATGTATTTGGCATCTACTACAATGAATCAAATGTGTATGAATAACTATGATGATCAAAGGAGATACATAAGTATAAGAAATGCATGGTCTCGCTCTTCAAGGAGTTAACAAGTGATTAATAGTGGTAGTTATGGGATTCTAGATCCCCATTTGCAATAAACCAAAAGAACCAAGGGATCTTTGTTGTTTTCCTTTTCTAGACCTTTGTTCTTGTTCAGTTCTTTCAGTCATGTCCAACTCTTTGTGACCCCATTTGGGTTTTTCTTGGCAAAGATATTAGAGTAGTGTGCCATTTCCTTCTCCAGCTCACTTTTCGGATGAGGAAACTGAGTCAATCAGGGTTAAGTAACTTGCTGAGGGTCACTCAGCTAATAAGTGCCTGAGGCCAGATTTTAATTCAAAAAACTCCTGTCACTATCCTGTATCTCCTCCTAGTCATAAGCTTAATTTGCAGCCTAGATTTCAATCAATAAATATTTATTAAGCACCAGTTAGGCACTATGGTAGGCAAAGACCAAACCAAAAAACAATTTCTGCCCTCAAGGAGTTCACATTTTAATGGGGGAAAGAGAACATACTTATATGTAAATAAGCATATGAGGAATATTTGCAAAATAAAGCAACTGTGAGAAATGAATATTTCCTGCTTATATTTAATAACTAATTATTGTATTAGGACCAAGGTTTTTCCCCTTTTCCACTTCCTTATCCAGAAATCAACCAATTCGGGAAGTCTCTCTTAAAGATTTACCCAGGCCAAGGTCTAATCAGACTGTAAAAGAAATTCTAAGTTTGGGCTAATGGATATACTCCTGCTTTTTGTGTCTGCTTGGACAGGTGTGGGGAAAGATAGATTCCCCCTATAATCAAGATAGGTGATATGTAAATTGATGTCTCTTTGACCAAGATTTGAGTGCCCCCAGACCTTCATTTTATTATAGCCCACACCTCCCATTGTGTTAAACCTCCCTCAGGAACACCTACTCTGTGAAGGTGACCCCACTGCCATTAGGAGTCTTAGGTCTAAGACACAGCCAAGTGACCACCCTTTTATTAATAACCTGCTGGCCTTATTAATAAAATGATTAAATTACTCAGAAACTATGTCTATTGAACCTTTTAATCATCACAAAACTCTGGGAGAGATAATAGGAGCTGGGGGAGGGGAATGAGGATTGGAGGATGGGGTGATTTCCCCCCTCCCCCCCTTTCCTTCCATCTCAACTCATTCATGTTAAAAAAAAAAAAGAAAGAAAGAAAGAAAAAGATGTGGTGAAAAATTGCTTAATCTTTTATCCTTAGTTTTCCTCCTGCAAATCAATTCAGGTAAGGGCACTTAGAAGAGGGAAGGAAGCAAAGAAGCAGCGGCAGTCCAGGAAACAGAAAGGAAGTTCAGGTTCTCTTGTTGGAAGGACCTAAATTCCACACGCCTTCCTTACCTGGCTAAGAGGAGGCCAGTGCTAATCAGATCTATCTTTAGCAAGGCACAAAGAAGCTACACTGGCCAGCAGGGACTGACTCAATTTTTTCTTTGTGACCCCCAATGTTTAGCTTAGCATTGGGAACAAAGTGCCTAATAACTGCTTTTTCCTTCTGTTCCACAGATGAGATGATTAAGTAGCTGTTTTAGAGGACTGGTCTTGGAATCAGGCTTAGTAAGGATGGAGCAAGCTTCTACAGTGGGAGTTTCCTACACATGGAAAATCACAAATTCAACAGTACAACCAAGGAGTTTAGCTAGAAAAGAATTTCAACAACAATCATTCTTCTTGGGGGGAAAAGTTGTCCTCTTTAGTCAAAACTTGCCTCCTCTCCCTGGTGTCACTTAAGTGATATAGCTTCCCTAAGAGAACACAAATGAATTCACTTTCAGGAGATTATTCAACCTGGTGTTCAAGGAAGATCCTGTTTAACGATCATGTCTTACAACTGTACAACACATGAGGATGTATTACAACTCAGCCAGGGGAAGTGGGCAGGACAGGGATAACTCTGCACCCCCCCCATTTTTTAGAGAAGAAAAGTGAGGTTCAGTCAGTCAATTAGCATTTGTTAAGGACCTACTATGTGTCGGGTATTATGCTGGGGATTATAAAGGCATGCAAAAAAAACCCCAAAAACTCAACCTGCTCCGGCTCTCAAGGAGCTCACAGTCTAATGTAGGAGACAAAATTAATAATATTTATATCACTCACTGTATGCCAGGATTTGTGCTAAGTGCTTTACAATTATTATCTCATTTGATCCTCAGAACAACCCTGGGAGGGAGGTACTAAGAGCTCTGGCCTTGGAGTCAAGAGGACTTGGGTTCAAATTCGACCTCAGACACTTGACACTAGCTGTGTGACCCTGAGCAAGTCACTTAACCCTCACCAAAAAGAGGGAAAAAAAAAGATCCCCATTTTCTGGTGAGAAAACTGTGGCAAATGAGGCATGGTCCAGGTTCACAGAGCCAGGTAGTGTTTGAGGCTGAATTTGAACTCCAATTCAAATTTGAAGTTATTTGAAGTTCAAATAACTTCAAATAACTATGTATAACAATATAAACTGGGGAATCACAGAGGGAAGGAATTAAGATTCAGAAAGGGGAAGTGACTTGCCCAGGATCACAGGGGCCAGGACGTAGCCACTTAGGCTACAAACAGGAGTGAAGGTTAACTACTTAGGCCAAAAGTGCCATGAAGTTCGTGACTGTGATTTTGGAAAATCAAGCTCGCACCAAACAAAGCAAAACCAACACGCCCGCCGACAAGACCCAAGTTCAAGTTCAAGGCAAGGAGGCGGGGCTGGCGTAGTCCCGTCTCCGGCGTCGCCCCCGCCCCCTCCCCCTGGCCCGGCCCATCCTCTCCGGGCTTCCCGGGGCTCTCTCGTGCACACGCCGCCCGGCTCGGATCGCGGTGGCCTCCCGGGACCCCGGCGGGGGGACCGAAGCACGCCACTCACCGAGGCGCTCTCCTGCAGGTTGTAGCGACACAGCGTGTGGTCGAGGTCAAAGCCGACCGCGTCGCAGTCGGCCAGGGAGAAGTGCTGGGTCATGGCCGGGGCAGGAGCTGAGGAGGACGGAAGCGAGAAACAGGAGAAACTGAGCCAGTCCTGGGACCTGCAGAAAGAGTCTGCAGCGAATCGGGCGGCAGGGGCTCGAGGGGGCGGGGCTGCGGCCACGGCCCCGCCTTCTGGCTGCCCGCGGCCCCGGCGAGCTCCACTATTGGTCCCTGAGGAAGCACGTCCCGCCCCCTCCGGGAGCGGTCCAGTCCTGCGCTCCTGCGATGTACAAGCTGAGTCACCCGCTCTGTCTAGCGGGGAGGGCCGGGAGACTTCGGCCCCCTGCGGATGCTTGAACCCTGCACCTGTGCTCCACCCATTTCTCCCTTCCTCCTTCTCCTACACTACGCTGGAGACGGAGCAGGGCCGCTAGGGGGCGCAGTGCCGTGCCTGACCTCAGGAAGACCTGAGTTTAAATGCGGCCTCAGCCTCTCTACTAGCTGTGTGACCCTGGGCAAGTCATTTAACCTTGTTTGCCTCAGTTTCCTCATCTGCTAAATCAGCTGGAGAAGGAAATAGCAAACAACTCCAGTATTTTTGCCAAGAAAACCCCACGGACAGTATTAATGTGCTGTGATCCACTAGGTTAGGAAGAGTGGGACAGGACTGAATAACAGGCACTATGCTAAGTATTTAATAAATATGGTCTCATTTGATCCTCCCAATCCTGTTAGGTAGATGCCATTATCATCCCCCATTTTACAGGTGAGGAAACTGAAACAGGATTTGAATTCTGTGCCCCAAAATAGGCTCTGGAGAAGAGTATTAAAAAAAAATCAGAGAAGAAAATTCCTTCCTTCAAGAAGCTTAAAGTCTTACAGTACTGTGCTAATAAGCAACAAAGATACAAAAAAAAGACCAAAAAAAAAGTCTCTGTGCTTGAGGATTCTAATGGGGAAGGCAACATACCAATATATACATACATGTATGTATAGTATAAATGGAAGTAATTTTATAGGGAAGGCGCTAGCAATGAGAGGACTAGGAAAGGCCTCCTGCAAAAGGTGGGATTTAAGCTGAGATCTGAAGGAAACCAGAGATTCTAGGAGGTGCATGTCAAAGGGAAAAGAATTCTTAGCAGGGAGGACAGCCAGTGAAAATTCATGGAGTCAGGGAAATGGATTGCCCTGTGTAAAGAAGAGCACATAGAGAGAGAAAAAAAAGGATCCTATCACACATGAACAGAATGGGAACAGAATCCAACAGTTATATTTGACACTGAACTCCATCACATAGGATTCTCAATTTACAGGTAGCAGGGACCTTAGCAGTCATCTAGTATTACTCTTTCATCTTATAAATCAGGAAACTGAGGCTTGAAGAGAGGTGAAATGACACACAAGTTAACAAAGGTAATAAGTGTCAGAGCTACGAATCCATGTTCTCTATCAAGTCCAGAACTGTTTCCACAGTGAGGTGATAAATCAAGCTTTGAGAAAACAGACACAGAAACAGAAGTAGAGAATGACAGACAGAGAAAGAGGCAGACAGAAAGATAAGAGAGAGGAGAAAAGGGGAGGGGGGAGAGACAAACCAAGAGGACAATATTATGTGAAAATCTGGCTTTGTATTACATCAGAAATTGCCATCCATTCTTAGGATCTGATTGCTTCACAAAATATCCGCATAAACCACTTTGGTCACACTTTTACCCTGCAACTTCAATTAACCTTGAGAGAAACAGGAAGGCCCTCAAGAAGTAGTCTTTAGTAAGGAATAATGTTCAGGATACAGTAAAGCCAACAAACACTTACTAGGTGCCAACTATGCACCAGGCACTGTTCTAAACCCAAGGGATATGAAGACTTAGCCTAAAAGAGAATGAAGTTTAATGAGAGAGACAACATACGAACAACTCGGTTGGTTCTTTCTTGAAGAGGACCAAAATGACATCACTATGTTAGAGTCAAATTACAGTGTGCCAACTATGGCTGATCAGACCAATGTGAGCTCAGAATGCTTGGGTACAAATAATCTGTATGAACATTTGGAATGGATTCTCCAAATTTGCACATCTTATGTTTCTTTTGAGCTACTTCAGTTCTGCTTTGCTCACAGAACATAGCACCTTCTTTGATGAGGGCATGCCACCCTGGGCAGTCCCATGCCAGTGTCTCCCATGTTGTGCATTCAGTTCCAGAGTTCTTCAGAGAGACCTTGAGAGTATCCTTGTATCGTTTCTTCTGACCACCATGTGAGTTCTTGCCTTGTGTGAGTTCTCTTCAAACTAGTCTTTTAGGCAAGCATATGTTTGGCATTCAAACAACATGGCCAGCCCATTGGAGTTGTGCTCTCTGCAGTAGTTTGAATGATTGGCAATTTAGTTCAAGAAAGGACCTCAGTGTCTGGTACCTTATCCTGCCAGTTGATCTTCAGAATCTTGCTAAGACAACTCAAATGGAAGTGACTTAATTTCCTGGCATGGTGCTGGTATACTGCCCAGGTTTCACAGACATATGAGAACGAGGTCGGCACAATGGCTCTGTAGACCTTCAGTTTGGTAGTCAGTCTAATACCTCTTCTCTCCCATACTTTCCTTCAGAGCCTCTCAGACACTGAGCTAGCTCTGACAATGTGTGCATCAACCTCATTATCAAAGTGTACATCCCTAGAAAGTATACTGTCAAGGTAAGTGAACTTATTCACAGTATTCAAAACTTCTCCATTTGCTGTAACTGATGGCTTAAATCCTTAGAATGAGATAGTGATATACAATGATAGCATATAAACTCCCTGAGAGCAGGGATTGTTTCATTTTTGTGTTTGCTTCCCCAGGATTTAACACAGTACCTGGCATACACTAGGTGCTTAATATATGCATGTTGATTGATTTATTAATTAATCCAGCAGGAGTCAGGAGACCTGAATTATAATCCCCACTAACCAGCTCTGGGACCTTGGGCAAGTTGTTTAATCTTGCTAGGCCTGAATTTTCTTATATGTAAAATAAAAATTGGATTAACCTCCGCAGTCCCTGGCCACCCTGAAATCTCTCAGTTCTTGTCGTAATTGTATTTTTTAAATGAATAAAATAGAATGATATCTCTTTGAACTCACAAATAAATTGCTGGAATAACTTTAAAAATAGATGTTCATAACTTCTATGCATGACCAATTTGTAGCATAATAATGTAATTCAACAACCTTTTAAGACATTGGATTAGCAAACTTACATTGGTGAAATAGTGGACAGTATAATAAGGACTATTTGATGTTGCTTAATGACCATATTATTAGTGTTTTGAGTTTTTCTGAAAGTAGTGCTGGAATAATTTATGTGTATAGTTTATAGTGTAACTTTTGTACTGCCTGGGTTTTAAAGTTGAAAGTGAAAACAATAGAGAGACATACTCACTCCTTCATCCCTACCCTTGGAATTTGAGTATTACAGCAGAGTTCCTTTCTTCTTACCAGACATGACTTACTTTCTAAATACCACTTGACATTCTACCCCAATAGAGAGATTTCTCTTCATGTTCCTGTGGGGAGGGGGATACAATGGAGAAGGCAGCTAGACCCAACAACCTACTCTCCTACTAGGTAACCATATCAATTAACTCATTTTACCAACAACAAAAGATTCAGACCCTAACTTTACCTTTTTTGGAATGTTTATTATAATTAATAAATCTGGATCTTTCTCCCTTATACTCCCAAGCTCCCCGTGGACCAATGTACTAGCAATTCACTTCAGCTTGTGTCCTAAGATCGCTTAAGAGTTCCCTTCTTTTGCAATCCACTATTTACGATTAATAAATGAATAATAATTTATTTACACAAAAAGGAAGTTATGAACAATTATATTTTTATCTACAGCAAGAGTTCTTAAACTTCTTTTGTGTCTTAGACTTCTTTGGCAATGTGCTAAAGTCTATTGACCTCTTCTCAGAATAGTGTTTCTAAATGTGTAAAGAAATCAGTTATATGGAAATACAGTCAGTTCTGTTACAATGCATCTCAGAAATGTGAATTTCTTTCCTCAAGACTGATACACATTAGGGAACGTTTTGAGCATAACTTCAATTTTAAGGTTGTTTCTGTGCAATTTCTTCTGTAAGAACCATCACGAATAGAGAAAACTGCACCATGTCACAATAACTCACAAACTACCCCCCCCTTCTAATCCCCACTTCCATAAGCAAACTTCAGGTCTTTGCTGAGGGAAAGTGTCATATTTATTGTATGTTTTTTGCCAAAGTAGGAGCTTTGCGTGGAGGAGAGCTGGGGGCCCTTCTCTGTCCCTCTCCCCCTCCTACTACCTCCACCCCTCAACCTGCAGGAGACTTTGCCAGCCTGCCCTCAGAACCTGGGAACTAGAAATAAAGTCAGAGCAGCAGCCCTGGGCCAAGAGCAAGCCGTGGTTGACGATGCTGCCACTATTTATTGTAGTATTTATTTATTTCTTAACCATTTAACATGTATAAAACTGTGCTGTTGTTTTTGTTTGATTCCTATGTTTTCTTAAATGTATCACTGACAAAGTTTTTATTTTATTTTTTTTTTATTTTTAGGTACCGGGTCACACAGCTAGTAAGTTTTAAGTGTTTGGTCTGAGGCCAGATTTGAACTCAGGTCCTCCTGACATCAAGGCCCGCGCTCTATCCACTGCACCACCTAGCTGCCCCATCACTGACAAAGTTTTTGAATGCTGGTCCCTAACCCCGTTTCACCCATAAACTCTGTGGTTTTTATGGTGGGATTTTGCATAGCACACAGTGCAATGCTTTTTGGAAGGCATATGCTACATGATAATAGAAGTGATTGTACAAGTATGAAATACTCAAAAAATAAGTTAAAATACCTCAGGTTAAGAACCTCTGGTAGAATAAGCTGTCATTAAAATGCTAATTCAGTCAGAAGTTAAAAAAGAATTTGAAGAACAGTTAGAAAGAATTTGAAAAACTTTGGAACAAATATTTGCCATCCCAAGCAGCTAGAGGGAAGGTTAGAGGAGTGGAACTGATTGTATCAATCATAAAGCACTGGTGCTGGGTATACTTCTCTCACCATTCATGTTTTCTTTATAAAGAGAGAGTAGAGATGAAAAAGTATAAGAAAATAGGAGAGAGGGAAATAAACAATTAGTA